GAACCCACGAACCATGAGGTCGTGACCTGAGCCAAAGTCAGATGCTTAACCAACTGAGCCTCCCAGGTGCCCCTTCATTTCTGGGTTCTTAGCACCAAGCATAGGGCTGAGATCCAGATTCGTTCTAGTATGCAGTGATAGTGCTGTCTACTTATACTTTCCAAACAAATTGTTTTTTGTTTACTCCTGATGTTAATTTAATGTAAAAGCCAACCTGAGGGAAGGAGCATGTGTTGCTCCAGATTATAGTGTGTGCCGTCTCACAGACATGGCCACTTGGCACCTTGACCTCGGGCCTGAGGTTACAGCCCCTCCCTTTGGCCAGGAGGAGGCCAAGGGCCTCCACAGGGCTGTGCAGGGGTGCAGAGGGCATGACTATTCATGGAGGAGGCAGGTGGGCCCCACTCTCTGGCTGGCAAACAGAAGTGGCCCCAGGGACCAGGTGAAGGTTCTAAAGCGAGAATTTATTCCAAGTGCACATGTGAGTGTGGACAGCGGTGACCTCAGGAGAGACACGCATTTCAAAGTAGGTCACATGCCTCTCAGTCTCCCAGCCCCAGCTCCCCACCCTGCCACTTCTCTGGTCTGGACTTGGGCAGGGGAGGGCCTCATGGTCCCCAGCAAAACAAAGGTACCTGAGAGCTAAGAGAAAATTACACAGCCTTATCTTTATTAGTATCTAGCAAGAAAAAGAAAATCAAAATCCCCTCCCTGCTCCAACCCCACCTTCACCACCTGGGCCCTCAGCCAGCAGCATCTATCTGCCTGGAAAGTGCCGGCTGCCAGAACTGTCCTTGGAGCCTGGACACCTGTGCAAGGCCACCCTGTGCCTGTGAGCCGACCACAGGCCCCTCCCTCCACAACGTGGGGATGAAAGGGCAGCTGGCATTTCTCCAGCTCTCAGCTGTCAGCCTTGGGAACTTGGAAAAGATCAGCGATGTCCAGCAGAGCCTGGCGGATGTGGTTCCCAAAGCGCTGGGCATTCTGTGGGAGCCAAGAGCTCAGACCAACCTTCAGGTGAACCCCTGTCCCTCTGCCCCTAAAACTGAGGACTCTTCCCCCACCCTGCCCAGACAGGGCCCCAGGTGGCATCCCCTCCTCAGGCCTGCGCAGGAACCGGGGAGACTCACTGTCTCTGAGCTTGAAAACTTGCTGGAGATGTGGAAGAAGATGGTGTTTTCGCCCGCAATCATGTAGGAAACCCCATAGCCGTCATCTGCCACCTGAGGGCAGCACGAGAGTAAAGAACAAGTAAACCAAACTTTGTGGATCTGAAAGCCAAGCTGACTTCATGCTTGTTCTCCCCACAATATTCCCAGGAAGGGGCCCCACCCCAGATGCTGCGTTTTTCCTGAGGTCAGAAACACCCCCAGGAAAAAGCGTGAAAACCAAGGGGCTCTGCCCGATGCAGCTCCAGACACTACCAGGAACCCAGGACCTTGTGTTTCTTTCAGGAGGCTCAATATCACCGCTTCTCTCCG